GAGAAACTGTCAACGTCACATTTTCTCAGAGTTTTCCCTTGTTTTAGGCGTTCGAGCTGTCTTACTGGATAGTTTCAAATACAAGCTTTAATTGAGTACGTAGTTTTTTTCTTCAAAAATATCTGTACCGCAAAGATAATTTAAGTGCATAGTAAAGAGTAAAAACTTTTGGAAAAACATGAACTTCTAATACAAGTCGCCATTAGTAGCCGAAAAGGAACGAAGAATTTTGCAAGAAATGTAGAGCTGAGTATGTTAGAAGTTAGAAATAGACAGCGAGTGCAATTATAAAAACCCACAAATTACCGTGTACGATGTCAATTCACATGTTGAACACCAGATGTAGAAAGATAAAATAAAAATTGGCCTAAAATACAAGTGGCGCATATTCCGTAGCTGAATCCGTGTATGTTGTAAAACTCGAAATTGTGTATATCACGATTATCCCCGCAAGCAACAATCGTCACCACCGAAGAATTTAAGCACACAGAAACCGTAATTTATCTCTTTCACATAATGATAAAAACCTATAAAAATAAATTGGAGAAAAAAATTCTAAATTATGGCTGAAACCATGAGAAATTATTTGAATGGCTGATCGTTTTATGATCATTCATGATGAGATTATATATCAAATCCCCCGTGATGTTCTACCGCCTCATCGTGGCGCAGGGGTCACTCTGGGTGCCGAACTGCGAAGTACGGCGGAGGTTTACCCTCCAGCAGGGTCTCTCAAACTGAGAAGGAGTTTGACGTTTCCGATTCCCCGAATGCCCAGCTAGGAGCAGGCCATGCCAGAAGCGCCACCGTCTGGCTGATTCAAGTCGCTAGGTGGCACATGTCTCCCTGAAGGTCAGCGATTGCCTATGGTGACCGGTTTGGAAACTCACTTATCTGTGATTTCCAACAAAGTTGGCAAATGTTGTGCGATAATATCTACGTTGTTATTTACGCTATGTGTAAATTAAACAAATGATGCATAATCTGTATTTGATAACTGGATGAGATGTACTAGACTGATCCAAGTGAAAATATCTCGAATTTTTTAAAATGATCTTAAGTTGAATAAAGTCAAAAATTTTATTGATGCTGCAGAGAATTCTATTGGAGGCAAAAGAGAATTTTCTAACAAGGGGCGTGGCTTAAGCGGGGGTTTACGTCTTTTTCAACTAGCATAGAACTTCGTTTAGAAATTTTGACGAAGTATGAACATTTCCAAAATAATTTCCTTCTAGAACAATTAAACAGCACATCGATAAATATAGAAATGATATGCAAGTTTTTGCCATCTGTTCCATGCACAGTAGAGAACAACCAGTGCTACAGCGACATCGCATAATGTGCTGTGCTGTTTAATTGTTCTAAAAGGAAGTAAAAGGAAAGATGTCTTGTCTTTTTGCAGTGATGAGATCAAAAAAATTGTATTTCGTCTGACACAATGAAGAGATACAGTAAAAATAGAGGGACGGGAATGAACCCGCAGGGTACTCGCAAAGAATGATATATCGGCTTGAAACTTGAAAACGAACATTTGAATACCCAGTTTAAGTTAGAACTGAACTAGCCTTTTAAATTGATCTTAAGGATTAAAAGTCTTATTTTTGATCATGTTCATT